CCCCTTTCCTGTAGTGTGTTATATAGGTTTTTGTGCCTTTTTAAAGCATGGAAACATGTCACAGTAGAGGCACAAAATACAAATACAAACATGAAAATGAGCATAATTGAGCCCTTTAATCTATTAATCGAGAAAAATAATCTGTACATTGATCGATAATGAAGACATTTTTGTTGCAGCCCTAGACATATTGTCCCCCCTGCCTCTGTATGAACTTATTAACAGGATTATGCCTCACCATGTTATCTCTGTGATCTTGTTATGTTTTGCATTATTTGACTGTTTATTACAGACAACAGACACCTACATTTTTGTAGCATATGCCTAAGAATGACATAATATTGTCTTTATAAACAAAGTCTATACAACCACACTGCATTGTGGGGTTTGTAGGTGCTGAAAAACCAGGCTGAAGTGAAAGGGATCAACGGATGAATGAAAATAACCAGCCCACGAGGCGAGAAAGAGTGCGAGGAAATGGAGAGCTGCAGGGATCACAAACAGGGAAACAGGGGAGGAAAAGAGCGCACATGCAGGAGAGCGATTCGTGCACATGCCTGAACGACACCAGACATCAGCTGATCTGCCCTGCCGCTCGGTATCCATGACAACGCTGTCTCCTGGGAAGTTGGCATGACAACCGCGGGAGGAGAGAAGTGGAGAGAAGAGAGAGGGGAGAGGGGAAAGACAGCACTAGATAGGGAGAGGGGTGAGGTGGGGGTGGGTGGGTGTAGGAAAAGAATAGGAAGTGAAAGATGGTGGGATGAGTCACTGATGCAGAATGGATTTTTCACCATTTCTTCACCAGAATTTGTTTAATGATCTAACTTTTGCTGCACAGGGATTAATTAGCTTTTAAGTCATTTGGTAGACAGTAGTTGGCCCTTCACTGTAACCATCTATCAGCTGTTATGCTGCCCTGCAGGAGGAGCAGTAAATAACAGGGTAGCCAGAGGGGATGCAGCGGTGTTAGCTTATCAGTGCTAATCAACAACGAGCTAACTGCTTTCCCCTCCGTTTGACCTTCTCAGATCGATAGCTCCGCGTCATGCTGCCGTGGGCTACTATACATCTCTATCTCACCCTTCTCACCCCCATTTCTCTCTTTACACTTCTTCTCACCTGCCTTAACAACTTTTCACCTTGACCAATTCACTCACCCACATACTTGACATTTAAAATGGCCCAGGGTAATGGATACAGCAGGGGAGTGGTTCTAATCACTGAAGGGATGGTGACTAGAAGATTGAATGGCACCTTGGGGCTGACGACTAAATGATGTTAAACGATAAGGCCGGCCATTTCCTATACTTCTCACAGTTAATAGATCCAGTGAAATAACTAAACCAAAAGCACTTTCCTGTATAGAAAATGTAACTCAAACATGGGTTATTTTGTGGATAAACACACATTTTAAGCTCTATTGCGTTTTTACTGCATATTTACAGTATGTGGGATTGAGAAAGAAACAACAGTATGGCTGCATTTTAAGATGTTATTATGCCGATTATTTTCTTAATTTATCGCTTAGTCTATATAATGTCTGAAAAAAGGGCCCCAGTTTCAAAGCCTTTACATGTCTTATCAGTCCAAAACCTAAAGATATTTATAAAATATGATGGTAACCAAATATGGAATTTTCCATGTTTAAAGTGGACCTATCATGCTATATTTGAATAATATATTGTCGGGCCATACCTATATAAAACATGTCTGTGAAGTTTTTTTTTCAAAATACCAAACAGATCATGCATTTTAGTCATGCCTCATTTCGCTCTATTTGCTCTATTCCAGCCCTGTTTTTGCAAGGGCTGATTCTGCTTTTGTGGCAGACTACAGCGCCACCTACAGGCCTGGCATATCTACTACAGCGTCTCCAGCGCTTTCGAGCGGTCTCTCATTCCCCTGATAGGTGGAGAGTTGCCCATATAGGCGGAGCACCCCTTTTCTGACGTCAGAAAAATTCAAATAATAATCAGCTCCGTTGCAGCCCCGTTTTTAGAGATTTGGGTATGGAGGAAAAGAGAGAGGGTTGTGTTTTCTGACACTTGGTGAGTTCCCTGACACACTTAACTGGGGACACATATTCATGTATAAAAGACATACAAAAGTGCATTTTGCATGATAGGTCTCCTTTAAAAGGCTGAAAAAAAATCATTTTTGCATGAAACTAATATTAATTGGTTAATGTTGGGAAAATACTAAATGTACTCTTCCGATATCAGAGTAGCACATGATAACAAAGGCCCTACGTAGCTGTGTACGTAACAGGATGTATGATTACCTAGAAGAGCATCAGGACATACTGTTTTAGGCGTATGATAGCTATGTGACAACGATTAACATGATGATTCAGCCTCTATGGAGATGGACATATGACTAGCATGATCCTTTCTGGCGTGGGTCTTAGCTGATCTAAACTAAACATTGAATACTGCTTTGAACCGGTATTCTGCATCTTGTGACTGTAACCCTCTCTTGTATAAGCATGTGAAGGACACTGTTCAGGAACTAGTCGTACCAAATGCTCTGTATGTGATGACTACTTCCATTCTTGAGAGAATAATAAATACATGTATCCTGATATTGAAGCTCAAGCCAGTGACGAGAGATATTTTTCTAACAGTTAATTAAATACTAGGCTTTTATTTCAATGCCAATCATTTTATAATTTCATTGACTGATGGTTGCGGGTCCAAACTACAGAGTTTTTGTTTTCATGGTAATGAAGGTGTTGAATTTATGTGATTGTAATGGTTTTATATCAGGCTTTGGATATACACAAGGATGTTGGTAGGATTAATTCCCTGTTGTTTTTAGGAGTTTCTAACGGATTTGTTGCAAATAACAAAAATAGAACCAGACCTTTACTTTTAGAATTCAACACATTCCTAATTTATAAAACAAAAGCAGGAACAAACATATGGTTTTGTGGCTAAAAAGAGGGGATGCAAAGCTGTTAATGAATCTTGCCTCAAGTACACATTTGGCTATAATGTGTGTGTGCTGTAGGACTCTTGTTCTGTCACTTCCAATGTGTGAAAGCTGCAAACCATAGTACCTCCCCTCCATGTCCTTCTACAACGCTGAAGGCCCTCCATATGCCATGTTTATGAGACTGAGCTTCATCTCATCAGCTCAATTTGTGTGTGTGTGTGTGTCTCACTCTCTCTGACTGAACAATAACTAAAAACCTCCTTAACTCATGCTGCTCTTCCTCTGCCACCATCTGCCTCAAATCCATCTCCACATTTCACCCCCAGGTGCAGCGATACAGGCTCCAGTTGTCCATCTCCAGCTCTCTAATTCCCTCTTGTCACTTTGTCAGATTGAACACTGGGGTGTCTCATCACAATTGTCACTGCACACCGTATGCCTCATATCTCACTCATTTCACTAGATGCCGGGGGTGTATGCGCCTCAGAGATGAATGCATAACACCTTCACTTCCTGTATCGTTTCTGCCCCACGTCCAATACAATGCATGTATCATAGCTCAATAGCACAAGGAGAGGAGGTTAACTCAGAAATATCAGGAGTAATCTGTCCACGCATTCAGTGTTATGCTGTTTTCTATTCTCTTTTTGTTTTCCTGAATAGTAAATGTTTCTTCAACTGCATAAATATGTTGGTGCATGATATTGTTGAGGATATTTATGACTTTTACACATTTTAATGCATCATTTGTAATATTTATGAATTAAAATGTCGGAATTAGGATAGACCTATGTTATAGATATTGTCAAGTCGTTTTCTTATACGTTTTTTCAAACCACGAGAAATAAGAAACTTTGAATAAGGAAATGCTTATTTGGTCACCTGTAATGGCAACATATCCTCTTTGATAGAAGCTGTTATTTATAGACTTTTTAGCCATATTTTCACAATGCCTTTTTTGGAACTTGGTTGTCATTATATACATTTTATGTCAACAAAGGATTTTAGTCTTTGCCCATCTGAATCGTAGGTTATCGGTATGTTTGTTTAATGTGTACCATAACGAAAGGTGATCAATTGTTAGCATTGTTGACGTCCTGAAGTCTTTGATGACAGCCAAATAAAAAGCACATTTCCCAAAACTGTGTTCTTCTGAGCAGGTCGCAGAGAAAGGTTGACAACAAATAACATACATTTGAGCGAGAAATGGAAAAAAAATGCAACCTACAGTAAGATGAATCAATGTGTGTCAATGCTTGAAGCAAACAAGTAGCATGAAGTAAACACATAGCCAAACAAAGGTCACACTTGCCATGGAAACAGCTGCATGAGCTGTGTGCATTGAGCAGCCTTAATGGGCTTATCACAGTGGGAACACGAGTTAAAGCAGCCAATTGTGGAGCTGGATGAGATTTTTACATATTGACATGTTGCAATAGGACTGGAGAGATGTGTGAATCCGAGATAATACGGTCACCTCTGCCAAAGCTGCTATCCCAGGCAGCAGTATATACAGCAGAGCAAGAATACCATATCGTTCATGTTATGCTGTTGTATAAAATGACTGTCTAACAAGAAGTCTAAAGAAGGCCTGCAATTCCTCATTGTTTCAAAATCAGATAATTGTAACGTTTCATTAAAAAGGAGTGGACTGTGTTTCCAAAAGTGTGATATAAACAATTATGTTTTTTGTACTTCATTCACATTATTCATGTCTTTCTTATTCGTATAGGGATACATATACGAATAAGGTTACATTTTAGGTGAATCACAACAAGACTATGTTTGGTTAAAGGATGTTGAGGAAATAGGATTTGAGCCATTTGAATTTCAAGTGTGTAACATGTAATATAATTAAAATCAAAACAAATTCAGCATTAGCCATTCTCATCCTGAACTTATAAATGTAAACGATATGCTTTATTGAATTGCACCTAGAAGATATCTCTTGTATTCAGCCATTATATTAATCTTCTTTTGTAATCTGCACCTAAATCCTATTACGCCTGTGTCTAATGTGTTTGTGATAAAGGGTGCTGATTAAGGAGTGGAGTGTGCCGTACGTTGTAGAGGGGGATGCTCTTCATGGGCTTGTACTGCTTCAGGGGGTCCATCTTGTACAGGTGGCGGTCAGTGAGGAGCACAGCCCGGTCCTCCGCCTTGTGGAAACGGTTGATCTGAGAAACACAAAGCATCTCATTAGTCACCCCACAGGATGAGAGCGCACATACAAACACCCTGCAGGGCGATGGCTCCAACCCCGAGCCGTTGGGTTTGTTTGTTTGTACAGACAGATGCATGTTGGGACTGTGTGTGCATGTGGTTACTAGAGGATAAATACTCTAAAGGCTCCTACCTTGCGCACGTTGCAGGAGAACAACACTCTCATGAATTTGTCTTTCCGCTGCAGCTCGCTTGAAACCAGTGTGAAGGATGAGGCGATGTCAGGGCTGTCTCGCTTCTGTCGGACAAGAAAGACACAGAAAACTTGTTAGAACACTCGTCTAATCTTAAAGTATTCGAAGACAGTATAGTATTCATCAAATGAAATGAGGTTGTTGGGACATTTATCCTTTTTTATACAGACTGTAAAGCTGCACTCAGCAGGCGGCTCTACTACACTGACGTTGCCGTTGTGTTTCAGCTGAACAGCGCAGCTATAAATCTAATATCTTCTACCAAACTTTTTCAATTTATACATTTTTCGAATCCCATGCAACTTAAAAAATGCAATATTATGGGGAATATGCTTTTTGGAAGTATAGTAAATATGAAGCAGGTTTGTTTGGCTGAGCAATAAGGCTGGAACATGGGGAACTACATGCTAGGCTCTGTCTAAATACAAAAATAATCCTTCATCTATTATTGCACCTTGTTTGTTTAACCTGAACAAACTGCAGTGGGACAATTTGCTCATTTACTTTGGTCTATGTCGCAGACTATTTGTTGGCTAGGAGCAGTGACTTCCTGGACTCTCCACTGGTTGCCTGGCAACTGGTAACAAATGGTTTTAATAGCAGATATTTGATGACAACATTTCACGAGTTACCAAAGACTTATTGATGTTTGACACGCAGCCCTAATATAGATTTTAAAAGCACAATACCAGTGAGTAACAGCCCATGCATGCTACACAGTAACACGAAACACAAGCCTACATTAAAAAACAAACACGCATAAGCAAATCTCGGCTGCATTTATTTGTCTGACTGACTCAGACTACAGAAAAACTACTTGGAAATGATGATTCACTTTCATTTGCATTGAAAGATAGGGCATTTGTACTGCATTCATGAAATGTATTAGGTCCCAAATAGGATTCACTTAACTCACTGATCAAATCTCCCTTAGGTTGAAACAACAACTCGGATATCAAATCAACATGTTCTTTGTAGTGTATATGTTGTTTCCATATTACAGCTCATAAACAAACCAAAGTCTGGATAACAGCTTCCCAACTCAGGAATGGGATAGTCCGTATGTGAATTCAGCATTGAGCTTGTTGCAGCCTTTCATGTGTTGTCATGGTTTATTCTCTCAAGCTTTCTCTGTTCTTGTGTTTAGTTTTCTTCTTTAAACATATTACAACTGTACATAACTGTACTTCCTCCCACCTACTCACCAGGTAGTTTCCTTCCCAGGCTCTCTGTAGCCCCAGGTCGGCCCTGTGTCCCTTCAGGGCCTCCAGACTGGCTACCTTAGCCCTCACCTGCAGGGTCTCTTCTGGAGAAAGGCCTTTGATCAGGGTCCATGCCCACCACCTGGAGGTAAACACATCCAAACACACACAGAGAGAAGTAAGAGCAGAGAAATATCGACTCTCTTCGTTGCGACTGCAGCACTGGGCCTTGATATGTGGGTCAGCGGGGCGATGGGGCAGGACTGCAGCAGACCCCAGCTGTAGTCCAGTTATTGGCCTTTCACTCACACATACTGACAGGCAACATCATTCTCTATACTGTGCCTTGCTTCAATTGAAAAAAGCAAACCAACAGACATTGAGATGAAGGCAGTGATGTGTGTTTGATGGAGGAAGAAAATCAATGCCCAGTGTGAGCCCAAAGCAGAAGGAAACATGTGTAAGTTGCTTCAAACGGTCTCATCTGGATGGGAGAAAGCACTGGAGGCCATGCGCTCTCTCCTGCAGTTAGGGTCAAATCCAGTTTTTGTTGAGGCTATTCAAGAAAACGGTTTTCTTCAAAAGGAAGCAATATATATAGGGTTCATTATCTGCCTTTGTTTTGAAGAACATCATTCAGTATGGATGCATTTTTAAACATTTAACTACAGATTTACTTTATGTTTAGGGTCAATTCTCTTGTATTGCAAACTGTTTACATGAGTTCTGTAAAAGATACAAATTAGCAACAAATATAAGTAATAACCTTTTTCTAGAATCTTGAAAAGGCAGCAGATATACAGAATAGAGGAAGTAATCTTATGTAAGAAGTGTACCTGTTATAGATGCTCCTAAGGGCCTCTTCAAACTTGCGCAGGACTTTGGGGGGCGTTGGCCACTTCACGTGCCTGCCATGATCCTTCATGGATCGGACATTTTTGAAGCGCCGGTTGACCTCACGGATGTACGACTTCACCTTGTAGCGTCGGTACGCCCGCAGGATGACGAGGGCCGCTCTCATTCGCCGGTACCGCATCCTGGCTATGGTGCCCCTCCACACCTGGAGACACAGATTAACATCATGACAATCTATTTAACTACAACTTCAAAAATATTGTGCATTAAAAATTAAATGTGGTAATGGAGCCTTTACCTCATGCGTCTTCTCCTTCCACTGTTTAAATTATTTATGAACGGAAACTGCTCTGCTAAGAGTTGTGTGTACATTTGCATGAAAAAATCAGTTTGACACAGCCATGTTTTTTGTTAACGTAAGTCGTTGTGTACCTGCAATGCTTGGAGGTATTCTGACTGAAAGAAAATCAGCATATGAACTTACAGTTAATAAGAAGGCTTACACTTCTACACACAATTCCTTAAACTGACCTTAATGTGCCAAAGAAATATCCCCTTTAGTACTGGATGATCTTAACTAATACATATATTATGAGGGGACATTTAGAAGTGCTGAATCTAGAATATCCAATACTTGGTCTATTTAAAGCTCTTCTGCTCCGGTGGTGAAAAGCTCATCATAAAAAAGTACGACCTGTGCATTAAAATCTAAATATAGATTATGCTGTTAAAGCTAATATATGAATGTGCGTCAACCCGTCATACTGCCAGTGTCTTAACTTAGAAATGCACAAATAAATTGTTCTTTCTTCGCTCATAATTAGAACTTATTTATTCCTACATGTTTTTTTGTAATTCACTGTTTGAATAAACATGGGTTCAGACGTAAACAAGGGCTTAAATAAGGACCCCCAAGCCTGGCTGTAACTAAACATAGGTTGAGAGGCTATCCGACCCTTTAAAACATGAATAATAGATGTAAGTGGGTCCCCAGGGAACCATAACTCCTGATTCCCCCTCACTACAGTCACCACCATATGCTCCCCTATTGCTGTATGTTCTCTCCCTTTCTTACACACACATTCCCACAACTCCTCCACTATGTTTACATTTGTTTTCCTACATGGAACCTAAATAATCCTCAATAATTAGTGTTTGAGCATCACAGTCCCAAATGAAAGGCAGTACTGCAAAATAGGCTCACTCCCAAATATAATAGAAGTGTAATACAAAGTAATAATGGAGATCATGCATATGTAATCCTTCAAAGTGTGGGGGTGGCCCAAGACACAGAAAAGGATTTCCTGCATTTGCATAATAAAACTGTGGAGGAGGCGGGTTCACCTGATGAGACTGCTGCAGTAATAATTGGCAAATAAGGAGATAAGTCATGCACTGCTGGGATATGGAAGCAGCATTTGTATTCATATCCTTTAAGATGATGCAACCATTTCAGCCGCACACGTGTCTGCAAGTTGCACTATGGCATTCTGTTATAACTTGAAGCGTCACTTTTTAACTAAAGAAATTTGATATGGAGTACACTGGAGACATAACTGAATGCTTCCCAAAGAACTGATTCGACAGCATTTATTCTGAACATGAACGAGGACAGCCGAATCACACTGAGATCAAAGCAAGAAGGCCAGTCAGCCATTTCATCTTCTTGCCAGGCGTGTCACCGTGTCACTCAGATAAAGACAGTTTAATCTGGATTCTTTTTAAACCCTAAACTTTTTTTAATCATGTTCTAAGACCATTTATCTAAGACATCCCTTTACGGCATTTTTTATAAATGATTTCTTATTATTTTAGATATTGTTATTTTAAACTTTATTGACAGAAAATGTTGTATAAGAGAAAGTAAACGTTATTTTACTATAAGAGTAGAATTAGATGATCTGCATTAAGCACAGACTTAAACATGTCTGTGTTTGCACAAACGGATTTTTCATTTACAGCTAAAAGCATTGGAATATGCTTTGAGACCTTGAGACGTTAAACCTAAACGGTCACAGAAAAAGTATTGCCAACATTATTTTGACAGTGATTTAAGTGTTTTATTGGACATTAATTGTACTTCTAAAGTTGATAAATGTACTGGTATTTATACAGTATTTTGATCCATGTTTTGAACCGTGTTAACAATTGTGTAAAGGAAAGTGTTTAAAGCATGTGCCTTTACAGGGACTGCAGATTAGACTGCGAGAAATTAGCTAATTGCTAAATCTGGTATAAATCATCTCTACTCTTCTGAGAATAATATGCGCATCATTTTTAAGAAGAGACCTTAACCCTTAGATGCATAAGTGGGTCTTTTTGGACCCGGTGAGGTGGTTTTCTTGAAGTATCTTTGTAATTACATTTTTTATCATTTCATATTCCAGCTATTCCCAAAAAACATGTTTTGGATATCATGCCATTCACATTTTAAATTGACATCTTAAGAAATTGTAGTTTTTGTATTACTACCCCAAGCTTCCATAAGTGGGTCAAAAAAGACCCGCATGCATTTCCTCTGGCATCCTCTGGGAACCTTTGATTCTGACAGGAATACATTCACTGTGGACCACACAGACTACATCACAAGTGACACCTCTCAGGAAGATTATTTGACACAGCAAGATCTGATACCTGTCAGTATAATAATAATAATAATAAATTATATTTTTATAGGGCTTTTCAAGGAGTCAAAATTGCTTTACAATATAAGGGAAGGTTAGGGTGGGGGGTATAGGTCTATCACACTTGATCAACCGGCATGGATTGATTGGGGGGGGGCTATGAGTAGACAAGAGGAGAAGAGATGAGTTTTGAAAAGGGACTGGAATACTGTGAGGGTCTCAGAATAGCGGAGATCTTTGGGAATATGTTCAAAACGTGATTTTTCGTAACCAAAATGACAAAAAACACATATTATTCTAATACGGGTCCTTTTAGACCCACTTATGGAAGAGTGTAGGGTCCAGTCACTCGTGCATCTAAGGGTTAAAAAAAGATCATTCAACAAAAGACAGTAATAGCATAGCTCTATCCTTTTCCAAAGTCCCACTGTTTGCATTTTCTGCCTCATTTATCACTTGAAAAATATGCTCCAACTCAATTTCACACAATTCTTAAGGATGAAGCATCTCCTTGAGGATATTCAGCCACTCCGAAAGCTAAACATCTATTTAAAAACACATTTTAGCATACACTGTCTTACAGCTGATAAAAGGGCTGTTCTTTTAGTTCATGCTTTAATATCACCTTTTTCTATTTATCGCGCTCCGTCCTACAAACAAAAGCACATACTGCATTTATATCTACACGCTCTTTTTGATTTCTTTGTTTTTATGCAAAGCAACCGACATCCATTCAGAAACAAAATAAGCTTGTCTAATACTGTGTTCTTTTTGATGTGCCTGTGAAAAGAAAGGACGTTATGCGACGTTTCCCCCACACTGCTCTCTCTTTAATACTTCATGGATGACAGTGAGAAGGAAGGAGCAACTACATATTCATCACTAATCGACCCCTGAGCTGACTCTCCCACATGATGAGAGGAATAAATGGGCTTTACCGTCAGCCCAGGCTTCAGCTAAATCAGTTTTCTCTGTGAGCGAGGTTAACAGCTACTTTCATTTAAATCCAGACAGAATTCAGAGTGTTACGGCAAATTAGGCAGAGCTTCAAGAGCAGGCGGGTTCCAATATAACTGTCAACATGGCCCTGGTGTAAATGCTGGACTTTGAGAGCATTTACATTGGGATTAAAACAATTTAAAGTTAGTAGATAGACATGTTGTAGAAATATCCATCCATTCTGATTTATACATCATTTTATTTTTGAGTGAACATACTGTCTCTTTTATGTGTTTGAGCTCCTCCTTACTTAACTTGTTTTTATATTGGGCTTTTTTATTACACTTTCATCCAGGATTCTTCTCACATACTTTCAAAACTAATTTCCTGTTTTAAGGCGTGACTGAAAACAAAAGTGGATAGCTGATAACCTACAGTGTATAATGTAATGCAACACAAATATAGCTGTAGCAAACCTTGAATAAAATGTGATTTGTGTGGGGAAGTCAGACACCGAAATAAATCCAATTTGTATAATGCTGAGCGGACATTTAAAGTTATGGATAGTTGGTAAGTTGATGAGGAGGAACAGGGTTCGTGTGTCACAGGAGGACGTGAATAGTATTAGCAATCAATTTAGCACTAGCATAATAACAGAGATGTGAGAGTCGTATTATTCGGCTGAATCTTGCTATAATTACAAAGTGAAGCCCACAGGATTTGTGTTTATCTTCATTATGTCAGTAGCTGAATTGTTCATGTTTACATTATTTCTTTATTGTGATAGAAAGCAGAGGTTGAGCTGAGCAGGTTACAATGTCGATGGATTTGCAATTGTGTATGATTTGTATTTTTGCATCCCTGACCTCCATTTCAACTTGTTGAAGAAATTGCTTATTTGCATTCTATCGATTTTTGTCTCATCACCTACAAGAGTTTAATGTTTTCGGTTTGTCTGATTTTTAGCAGGATTACGAAAAAACTGGAGGCCCAACTTTTATGAAACGTGGTGTAAGGAAGAGCCTTCGACGAATCACAGGGCAGAAACAAAATGTTTGTTTCCCTTTCGTTAACATTGTGATATACTGTAGGCCTTCCGGGCTGCCCTCATTTTGCTGAATTAATCTGAAAAATGTGCTTCTCGACTTCTCGAAAGTCAAAACAACTTAGAAACAGCAATCAATGTTTAGCACTAATACAATACAACATATATATTCCATGTTGTTCGCACACTGCGCGCCGGAAAATAGACTTCCTAATTCGGGAAATAGTACCATCCGTGAAGCATGAGAATCCAGACCTGTCTTTCCCAAAGATCTTATCTGTAAAAAACTCATAACATGTCACAAGTTCCGTTTTAAACATGCATCCAATTCCTGTGTATCTGAAGCAGTGAATGACTCCTCTTCCCTCTGCCACACTCATCCCATTCACACACAGACATAATGTCCCAACCCATATGTGCTTATATGATACACAAAGCAAAAAGAAGCCAAATTGGATTTTCAGTGAGAGCTTTGTTAAGATGCTGCCAGGATCATACCCACATGGTGCACAGGCCTTTGCCAGATCAACAACTGTGTTGATCTAAGCAACACATCACTAATTACACTGTGAACTACTGGGGCTGGAGCACAAAAAT